CAGCACACCTGTTTTTTTGCCTCGTATGAGCAAAGTATGGGTTGGTTTTAAGATTGTTGGGAGTCAGTGGAAGGCCCGTGTCAGTGGGTCTTAGTGGGAGTCAGTGGTGGGTCTTGGTCAGTGGGTCTCTGTGAGAGATCTCTGTCAATGGAACTCAGTGGAAGACAACGGAAGGCCTTTGTAAGTGGTTCGAAGTGGGTGACAGTAGGAGGTGTCAGTAAGTGGTTCTCATTGGGAAACCTCTGCCAAAGGGTCTCAGTGAGATACCTCTGTTAATGGGTCTCAGTGAAAAACATAGGGTGGTCTCTCTAAGTTGGTCTTTGTGTGAGACCTCTGTCACTGGGTCTCAGTAGGTGACAGTGGGAGGCCTCTGTAAGTGAGTCTCAATGGGAGACCTTTGCCAAAGGGTCTTAGTGAGATACCTCTGTCAATGGATCTCAGTGGAAGACATATGGTGGCCTCTCTTAATTGGTCTTTGTGTGAGACCTCTGCCACTGGGTCTCAGTGGGAGGCCTCTGTAAGTGGGTCTCAGTGGAAGACCTCTGCCAAAGGGTCTTAGTGAGATACCTGTCAATGGGTCTCAGTGGAAGACAGAAGGAGGCCTCTCTAAGTGGGTCTTTGTGTGAGACCTCTGCAAGTGGTCAATACAATTTTTTTTTGAAGTTACCTATGGCATTAGCAGGCTGCTTGTAGATGATGGGAAAGGTGTCCCTCAACCACTTCTGAAGCTCTGGACTGTAGTGTTCTTGCACCTGCTGTAGAACGTTCAGGAAGGTCCTGCATGTCTCCTCATTCTGTAGCATGAGCTCCAGGACCGAGACGATCTGGTTACTCTCCGGCCTGGTCTCAAGGAGTCTGAAATATGTCTCTTGGTGTAATGCCCCAGCATCGTGCAGCCACCTCAAGATCACATCTGGGTTCTTTTTTAACCATTCAACCAACTTTTGTTTGCAGGGCTTGACCTTCGCAAGACACTCACTCTTCATGGACATCTGGATGAGGAGAAAGCAAGTGAGAGAAAACAGATGGAAACAGGCACAGAGGGGCCTCAGCTAATGCCTGGGTATGTTTTGGACCAAAATGCTAATACAGCCTTTGATTTAAGCTGATCTATGGACCGTCTTTAATTTTCATAACCCGGGTATTCCTGTAATAGGGTAAGCAAACAGACATGGAGGGTCAGGTGGGCCTCACATTCATGTCTTTCAATTCTCTTATGTCTAAGTCCAGTTTAGGTTACTGCAGACCTGATAAAAGTCAAAACTGTATAATATGCAGATCTCCCTCTGACCGACAGTGCCGAGGGAGCAGGAAGCTGGCTTCCTTTCTAATCAGGAAGCTGGGCTCTGGGTTATGACCCGCCTCCCGGCTTCCTGATTGGCTAGGAAGCCAGCTTCACTTGTTGCTAGACAGCCTGGCTTCCTAACTAATCAGGAAGCCGGGCGGCACGTTATGACCAACCTCTTGGCTTCCTGACTGGCTAGGAACCAAGCTTCACTTGTTGGTAGGCAGCCTGGCTTCCTAACCAGTTAGGAAGCCGGGCGGCACATTATGACTCGCCTCCCGGCTTCCTCATTGGTCAGGAAGCCAGGCTGTCTAGCAACAAGTGAAGCCGGCTTCCTAGCGGATTAGGAAGCTGGGAGGTGGGTCATGACGTGCCTGCCCGGCTTCCTGAATGGCTAAGAAACCGGCTTCACTTTTTGTTAGGCAGCCTGGCTTTCAATGGAACTCCACCTTCCCAGGCAATCAGGAAGCCGGGCGACGGATCATGATCCGCCACCCGACTTCCTGATAATCGGGGCACACATCACCGGTATCGGTACTCGGTATCGACAAGTACCGGAAAAAATGTATTGGTACTCGTACTCGATATTGAAAAAATTGTATTGGTGCATCCCTAATGGTAACCCATCATGATGGGCACAGCAGGTGTACAGCCCCGGAGATCTCACCAATAGAGTCCTCAAGAGATAAAGAAAGCTGCCAGTTGGTATAATTCTCATCACTAACCCAACAGTGAAATCTCAGATTTGGGTAAAATGACCTTTTGAACCTCTACATGTGGTTGGTCAGATGGATCCAGAAGATGGGAAATCTGATGTGACTGGTTGTACCACCTTAAATGTGTTTGTACCCATCTATTGCCGGTGCCGGGAACTGGCTCAGTTATAAACAATCGGTAACTGGCCTTGACTGTCAGGAGAGTTGTTGATTGCTATCAATTTATAAAGTGCTGACATGGTATCGGAAGGCTGGATTATGTATCTGGATTGTTTATTAACTTCCTCTGGTGTTCTTAGAGCTTACATACCGTGCTCTTCAATGTGAACGTGCAGAAGCAACCCGAGAAATCATAGGGTTCATGGAAGTCATGGAGTCCATGAAAGGGACGTGACATACGTGACTTATGGATGGCCACCAACTTGCCCAGATCCAAACAAAAATAAAAGAGACGCCCCTCCCCTCCCCTCCCCTCCCTCACTTCCCTTAATGCATCCAGCATTGTCTAGATGTCTTTAGGAGCAGACCTGCCCCAGACTGAAGGTGGCACAACAATGGAGATCAATCTTGCTGTTGGCACAGCAGAGTTGGTAAGGGTGGACCTGATTGGTTGGCGTCAGGCCTTTTCCCTTGGGGAGGGTACTGTAAAAATCACCATTGTCTACCTGCTAGAGAATAGAATTTACTTTTGGCCATTGGGCATATATACGGGCCAAGTTTTCATACAATATGGTAAGACATTTAGTAATCTGCAACCTTGAGTCTCTCAATGGGCCAAAATGATCCTATGACACCAATAACAGTTGGGATGATTACCCAGCATGCTCGACCACTCGTCAATGCCTTCATCTGGTGTTCTCTCCAGAAGGAGGGCACCATCTTTGTTCAACCATCATTAAGGGTCACCTTTAACCTCCTGGACTGAGCTCCTATTCAGGGATGACACAATCATGTAAATCCCGATAGCTCTGCAGTCCTTGGCTGTGTTTAAAAATGTCTGACACAGATCAGTCCCTGCTGCAGCTTCTAATTTTGTAACTCGTCATAAAGTTTCAATGTTCCAGTCCAATCACTGGAGGGACACACACACACACACACACACACACACACACACACACACACACCGGATTATTGCTTGTAATATATGACCAGCTTGGCACATCTCAGAGATTTCAGCAGTTTGAATTGTTACAGGCTCTGCCCTATACATCCCCCCACCCCACCCACAGAGGCCTGTCACCACACAGCATTGTTTGTGATATAACATCAATGTGGGGTTACACAAGAAGACTGAGAACCCCAAATGATGGGAGCTGTGGGGTCACCACTGGGACCTGTGAGATGTTGCTGGCTTGATAGGACTCACATCAGCGTCTACCCAGGGTCAGTTTTGGGGGGACAGACCCCAGATATCAGACACAGTATGGTTTTAGCATTCCAGCTATGATTTAGGAATATTATAGGATGTTGCAGCTTACCTTTGCCCCGACTTCATGAGCAGCGGGTGTGTCTTGGTGTGATCGTGTTTTCTGCTCTCCAGCCGCCTCTCTCACACCATTCTGCTGCCCAGATTAATCTTTAACTTCATAGAAACTGCAGCGCCCTCAATGACTTAAACCTTTAATATGGTGCAGATAGGAGGATTTTCCCTATCACATCTTCATATCTGATTGGCTGAGAGCCAGGCCAGGGAGATATTTATATACTGTATATATATATATATATATATTGTACACGCCCGGGGTTGTTGGTGTCAGCAACAGAGTAAAAGTGCCGTGTACTCTAAAGATTTATTATACATTACATTCTACACAAAGCAGTTTCTGGTGGATTGTTAACAAATCTTTACAAGGTGATAAAACTTTCATTGTGATTGGAGATCTATCTATCTATCTATCTATCTATCTATCTATCTATCTACTGTATCTATCTATCTATCTATCTATCTATCTATCTATCTATCCAGAGAGCTGGCTTCCCGGCCAATCAGGAAGCCAGGGGGCAGTTAATGACTCCCTCGTCACCAAGGAGCCCGGCTTCCTTAATGGAACTTCCGATATCGGTATTCAGAAACAATTTTTTTTTTTCAGTACTCATACTCAATACCGAAAAACCGGTATCGGTGCATGCCTAGTGACAACAGTGGATCATGTCTACATAATGTGTGTTTAATCAGCTACTTGTAGTCTCAATCAGATGTCCATGTGACTGGGTGACAACGCAGCAGCACAACTGGGAGACAGTGAGAGAGCGTGGCCACCCTACAACAGGAAGTCCCCAAACAAGGACCTCCATGGCAGGACCACCAGGGATTATTTTACAGAAAGCTGCAGATTTGACGCTACTTTAAGCACTTCATACACGTACATAAAAAAGCAATAGCAACAAAAAAAGATTTGTATACCTTGTAATAGTATTTTATTTAATTAAGTTAACAGAATACAAGTTAAATAAAAAAAAGTCTCACATTTCTTTTCAGTATAAAATATACAATATTAAAAAAAAAGTGATATGATGATTATAAACATCTTAACAACTCAGTACATATATCTATAAATAGAGGGAAACCAGCAGGAGGGTTGTAGGAGGGGGCGTCCTCAGCTACGCTATGCAAAAGACAAAGGGGCTGATTTGTAGATTTTGTAGCTGGGCGAATGCCGTTCGCATATCATCACCACCACCACTAGATGGCGCTGAGGAGCATAGGAAATTCCCATGCTCCTCAGCACCCTCTAGTGGCAGAAGAGCAATATGAACGGCATTCATCCGGTTATATGCTGGATGGAAGGTTTGCACATCAGCCCCATAGAGTAGCTGCGGCTACAAATATTCACATTGCTGTACATCTGCCCGCGAGTCGGGAACGCATTTATACATGTATTAAGGGTTTTATTTTTATGTTATGGTCATGTGACCATTTTCTGTACATCTACAGATAGATGTTCATAGTGTTTTTTGGTGATTTGCGATCCACGGTCAGCTTTCCTCCCCAGGGGGATTCAGGTCCGGCAGCAGTATCCACACCCTTTGTATTTGCAGCATTTGCAGCAGTATATGCAGATATGAAGGCCGGTGTGCCGTTTGCCACGTGCCAAAAAGTCTGTGGATTCCTAAAAAGGATAAAGCCAAGTTAAAGCTGAACTTCAGCAAACAGCTAAATATACATGACTACATATACGGGAGCCAGTGCTATGTGTATAATGGGGCCCCACAGCAAAACCATTAAGGGCCCCCCCATCTCTCTATACTCCACATCAAAGAAAATTCTGCTGATACAGAATACTTATGGCTTGCTTCTCAAGTTCATAGAGATTCCCCAGCTACTGTTATACATTAATGTTATTAATTAGGGATGCACCGATAAAGTTTTTTCGGTATCGAATACGAGTACCGATATATATATTTTTCCCGGTACTCGCCGATACCGAATACCGATACCGGAATTCCCATTAAGGAAGCCAGGCGGCATGTAAAGACTCGCCACCCGGCTTCCTGATTAGCAAGGATGCCGTCCCCATGCTTCTCATCACTAGGTGACGAGGGAGCATGGAGTCGGCTTTCTGGCCAATTAGGAAGCCGGGCGCCGTGTAATGACTTGGTGCCCGGCTTCTTGATTGGCCGGGAAACCGGCTCCATGCTCCCTCGTCATGAGGTAGTGAGCGAGCATGAAGCCGGTTTCCCGGGCCAATCAGGAAGCCGGGCGTTGCATCATTACACGACACCTGGCTTCCTGATTGGCCAGCTTCCCGACCAATCAGGAAGCCAGGTAGCGAGTCATTACACGCTGCCCGGCTTCCTAATTGGACGGAAAGCCGGCTCCACGCTCCCTCGTCATCAGGAAGCCGGGCAACGTGTATTGACTTGCTGCTGGCGTCCTGATATCGGAAGTATCGGGCTAGTCATCTGAGCATTTGGGCGAGTACAAGTACTCGCCCAACTACTCTGCATCGGCACCGATACTAGTATCGGCATCGGTGCATCTCTAGTTATCAACATTGACTTACCAGAAGCTATTGCTACCTGCATCATTCACTGTATAGATAAACAACACCGGGTTCCATAGCAGTTGCCTGGTTTGCTATGGCTAAGTTACATCCTTGATGGGAGCTGATTTACCATACAAAGGATTTGTATTTCAACCCACCCAGTCCTGAGATTTACGCAGCTCTGCTACACAGCACAGTCCTATCTGCCAGGGAAGGAGACCTGATTTTTCTTTTCTGCAGTTCAATAACACTTACGGGTCTTGTCCCTCCACCAGACTGTGATTGGACAGTGAAAGGAGAAGCAACAGACTGATGACGCCTGTCAATCAGCCTGCAAGACCAAAGCCTTCTATAGTATCCCTTCATTATCACGTCTGCATACATTGTTTCTTATCTGTCAAGCCCTGATGAAGGAGCATAGGCTCCAGCCCCCAAAACGTGTTGGATTTATGTACAATACTCCATCAGATTTTACATTGGGATCAACTTGAATCTGGACTTTTTAACATTAGGGTGTGGAGCTTCAAACCAACATGTACTCAGTCCTGTCACAACAGAGGTGATTGTTAAAGTCCATTGTCCAGACATGCAAGATCCACACCAGCTCCACACTGTAGGACAATAATAATGGAACTTTTCGGAGCTGATTTACAATGAAGGGAATTTATCAAAACTGGAGCAGACAAAATCTGGAGCAGCTGTGCATGGCAACCAATCAGCTTCTCTCTTTCATTTTCAAATCTTAACTGAACAAACGGAAGAGAGAAGCTGATTGGTTGCCATGCACAGCTGCTCCAGATTTTGTCTGCTCCAGTTTCAATAAATTCCCCTCAATGTGTTTGCACAGTGCAAACGACATGCACAGTCCATTACTGCCACTAGATGGAGCTGAGGAGCATAGGAAATGCCTATGCTCATTGGCTCCATCTAGTGGCAGCAATGAGCTTCAACCATCATTCACATAGCTGTGTGCTGTGCAAACATGTTGTAGATTAACCCCTTAGTAATCTAGTGCCATCAACCCTTTCCCTCAAAGGTTGTGCAAGTGTACAAGTGTGACCTAGAACTTGTGGTTGCCCCGCACAATAACTAAGTAAGCATGTCATTATACATATTATCATCATAGAGTATCCCACCTTTATGTCTGCCGTTTCCATCTGTGGGTGACCCAGCTGGGCTGCGGAATCCACATTTTCATTCTAAAAAAAAAAAGAACAATTAATAGAATTATTGTTTTTATTAGATTGCTTCTAAAAAATAACATCCATTAAGCACTAGAAGGGTTTATTGAGTACCCACAGCACATCACTAGACAAGATATGCTTCCAAAAAGGTCTGGATGTGTTTCCTATTCAGCTCCTAATATTTATAGGTAATGCTGTAGATCCAGGAAGCATCGGATTGTCTTTATGGATGAGAAAATCGGGCAACGCTTTATGAGGGTTGTTTTTGCCTTCCTCTGAACCAAGTGTTGATTATCCATCCAACTAGGTCCAGTTGAATGTGACTGACTACTACTAGTTATACCCTCCATGACCTGGATACATCAGAACATTCACAGACATTAGGGAGAACTCTTCTTGAATATTTAGGTACATTTTGGGGTCTCAGTTACCAAAGGAGATGTGGTGGAACTGGAAACTCCAGAAGAGGGCAACTAAACAATAAGGGGCATGGAGGGGCTTGGCTACAAAAGAAGGTAACCCAAAGTCATCTAATTTACTCTTGAGAAGAGTCAACTAATGGAGGATATGAACACCTTATAAATAAAAACTGGGCCACATTGTAAAGTCAGTGGACACTTGAGGCCAATGCAGAAGAGGGCAACTAATTAATATGGGGTATAGGGGAGCTCATGATTGCTATCATATCCCTCTTCTTAACCCTAAATGCATTCAATTCAACGTATCTTCCCTCATAGCTGGGCTCTTCCATGCCCCATATTATTTAGTTGCCCTCTTCTGAAGTTTCAGGTTCTACCACATCTCTTTCGATAACTAAGACCCCAAAATTGACCTGAATATTCAAGAAGAGTTCTCCTCACTAATGTCTGAGTGTTCTCATGTATCCAGGTCATGGAGGGTATAACTAGTAGTAGTCAGTCACATTCAACTGATGCTAGTTGGATGGATGGTCAAGACTTGATTGGTTCAGAGGAAAGCAAATATAGAGTAAATAAGATGAGTTTAGGTTATCTTCTTTCATAGCCAAGCTCCTCCATGCCCCATATTATGTAGTTGCCCTCTTCTGCATTGGCCTCAAAGTGAACAAGTGTCCACTGTCCTTACGATATGGCCCAATTATTATGAAGACCTTATAAGTACATGATTGGGCCATTTTCATAAACTCAATGGACACTTGTTCAATTTAAGGTCTCTGCAGAAGAGGACAACTAAATATAATGGAGCAAGGAGGAGCTCAGCATTGAGGAAGGGCAAGCTAATATTAATGTATTTACTATTGGGAAGGGGGATATGATTACTTTAAAAATACACCATTGGGCAATTTTAGTAAACTCAGTGGACACTTTTTTGAAATTAAGGTGACTGCAGAAGAGGGCAACTAAACAATAAGGGGCACGGAGGAGCTCAGCTATGAGGGAAGATAAGCTAGTATTAATGTATTTGCTCTTCAGAAGGGGGATATGATGACAATTAGGGGACATATGATGACCTTATAAATACATAATTGGACCCTATAGTATACTCAGTGGCCACTTGTTGACTGGTACCTCACCTCACCTCAAAAGACACTAGGGTATTCTTGTAACTGGAGGAAAGGAGGTGGAACCTTCCCACACCAAATGGGTTCTAGACAGTAAACACTGGGAAAATGTAGAAGAGACTTCTACGTGAGTTGGTTCCAGTCAACTGTGTAGGATGCTTTAAAAAAAAAGTCTGGATGTGTCATTACATGTACAAAATATACAGTAATTGGCTAAAATATTTTCAAGTCAATCTGTAGATCCAGGAAGTATATTATCGTCTTTATGGGTCACAAAGGGACCCTTGTTGGGGAACACTGCAATATGCTTTTTTTGAAGGCTGTTTTGCCTTCTTTGGACCCAATTTTAAGGGAACCGAGTTGTTTTTTTTTTCATTTTTGGTTAAATTTGGTGGACGTGTCTTTTTTTCAACATAAGTATACAACTTTGTTACTACATGAAAGACCCCAATCGTCCAAAATGTCTAATGAGTTTTGCAGATGACCTTCTTAGACTGTCCTGGGATAATTGTTGCTACCTGATAAATGTCCAGATACCCAACTAAGCCCGAGGCTCTCCATACATATGAAATGGAGGTCTAAAGGAACACTAGACTTCAAGTTCATATGTGTACCAAAGATCATACAAATTTTTACCTTGTTGGAGAACACTGCAATATGCTTTTTTAAGGTTTTTTTGCCTTCTTTGGACCCATTTTTAAGGGAACTGAGGTTTTTTTTTTTCATTTTTGGTTAAATTTGGTGGACGTGTCTTTTTTTTCAGCATGGCTATACAACTATGACACTACGTGAAAGACCCCAATGGTCCAAAATGTCTAATCAGTTTTCCAGATGACCTTCATAGACTGTCCTGGGATAGTTGTTGGTACCTGATAAATGTGCAGATACCCCACTAAGCCTAAGGCTCTCCATACATATGAAATGAAGGTCTGAAGGAAGATGGGACTTCAAGTCTACTGTTCCTTCGTCTACGAAATATCATACAAAAGATCATCTTTACAGACAAAAAAAATTCTATTTAGAAATGAAAATTCTCTCGTGTTTTCCATGTGACCAACAACCTCTTTGCATGTCTACTTTTCCATCCTAACATGCCTGAATGATGGAATTCAATATAAATACGTTACCTGTATTTACATATGCAGATATGATTTTTATATATACATATAAAGATATGTACACATACCTTTCAATGGGGACGTCTGTTCTGATCATAACTAAGAAGGAACATTCCTTTACTATAACGAGATCTCTTCTTCGCCATGTCTCTGGGACACCAAGTGAATGGAAATCCCCCTCCCGATGGAACAAAGGTGACAATAAAAAACCCCTTTAACTAATGTATACAAAGCTAAATAAAATGTTTCAGCTTTGGATCTACTTTAAAAGGAAACAAAGAATCTTTTTGGAAGAGAAGACTACTGCTGTTTTTGAATTCTCTTTCATACACAAGGTCAATCACAAGTCTGGTGGGCAACGTTTTAGGACTGCCTACCGAATATAAAACTCTATGTTACCCAAGACCTCCTGCTTTCCATCTCCCTTGTCAACTCCTCCCATGCTCGCCTCCAGGGCTTCTCTAGAGTCTCTCCCATCCTCTGGAACTCTTTACCCCAACCTGCCCGTCTATCTCCCACCTTGACTGCCTTTAGGCGATCCTTAAAGACTCATCTCTTCAGGGAATCCTATCCCACCTCAACCTAACCACTGAACCATCACGTTCTCAAACAATTCATCCCCACGCAGCTACCTCCTCATGTATCACTGGCCACTTCCTATTAGATTGTAAGCCCTCAGGGGCAGGGCCCTCCTTACCATCTTGTCTTGAATTGTATTGTGATTGTAATGTCTTCCTTATATTGTAAAGCGCTGCACACACTGTTGGCGCTATATAAATCTTGTATAATAATAATAATAATGTTACCCTTTCCTAAAATGCACTTACCTCTTTCATGGAGGCGCAGATTCCTTGGTGGCAGGCGGCGGAGAGGATGAGAATCAGGCAGAGGGTGGTGGATTTCATGTTCCTTATCTTGAGATGACCCAAGTCTGTGTGTTGCAGGTGGGTTGAGACTGAGAGCCCTGTGTGGTTCACGGTTCAGGACAGAGCTGTATATATGGACAGGTCCCAGCCTGGGGGTCACGCAAGAGGTCACTTTCTGATAATCCATGGCGCCTTCTGCTTTGTTTATTCTTTTTCTTACGGGCAGAGCCGGTGTTGCAAATTCTGTAATTTTTCCAGAAGTTATCGCAGAGCACAGCGTCTTTACCGTAATAGTCAGAGGATTTCAGATGTGGGGAAGTTCTGGGACAGAAGATGTACATAGCAGATAGGAATTCACTTGAAGGTTACATTAGCATTGTACTGAACAGCAGTGTGTCTTCCTCTTCCCTAATACTGTGACTGTGTGTAATTTAAAGGGTAAGTCCGCAGCTCAAAAGAAAATCATATATATATATACATATATATATATTAGATGTAATCCCCAACTCGATGACATTTAGTTTGCAATATATCATAAACAACTGATAGTTTTTAATAGAATACAATGTTCCCCTTGTATTGCTCCTGTGTTGCATCTCCGTATTACTGATTTCCTGCAGCCTCTTTGCAGCCACGTCCTGTCTACATGCTCCCGAGTGATGGCTGCATGGCATTTCTCAGGGTGGGTTTCTTGATGGTGACAACAGTGGACCAAGTTTGTGTAATGTATGATGAAATAGCCACTTTATAGTCTCCATTGGAAGTCCATGTGACAGGGTGAAAACGCTGCAGCACAATTGGGGGATAGGGTCAGAACGTTGCCACCCTATGACAGGAAGTCCTGAACAAGAACCTTCATGGAACGATCATCAGGTATTATATAGCACTTATAGTCTCCATTGGAAGTCCATGTGACAGGGTGACAACGCTAGAGCACAATTGGGGGATAAGGTCAGAACGCTGCCACCCTATGACAGGAAGTTCTGAACAAGAACCTTCATGGCAGGATCATCTGGTAGTATAACCCCCATATAGTCTCCATTGGAAGTCCATGTGACAGGGTGACAAGCACACTTAGGGGTTAGGTACAGAATGTTGTCACCTCATGACAGGAAGTGCTTGAACAAGGATCACAGTGAACCATGGGTAATATGTGTTAAAAGGCCACTTGTAGTCTCCATCAAGAGACAGGGTGTCAAGGCACAAGCACAACTGAGAGACAGAGACACTTTGTTGTCACCCTGTAACAGGAAGTCCTGAACAAGGACCTTCATGGCATGACCATCAGGTATCATGACCCACTTATAGTCTCCATCAGCAGTCCATGTGATAGGGGGACAATGCTGGAGGCGAAATGGTGGACAGGGACAGAATGTTGTCACCCTATGACAGGAAGTGAACAAAGACCAAAGTGGAGCATGGATAATACTGTATGTGTTAAAAGGCCACTTATAGTCCCCATCACTAGATAGGGTGACAAGGCATAAGTACAACTGGGAGAAAGAAACACACTGTTGTCAACCTATAACAGGAAGTCCTGAACAAGGACCTCCATGGTAGGATCACTATAGGACCTTCATGGTAGGATCACCAGAGGACCTTCATGGTAGGATCACCAGAGGACCTTCATGGTAGGATCACCAGAGGACCTTCATGGTAGGATCAGCAGCGGACCTTCATGGTAGGATCACTAGAGGACCTTCATGGAAGGATCACCAGAGGACCTTCATGGTAGGATCACCAGAGGGCCTTCATGGTAGGATCACCAGAGGACCTTCATGGTAGAATCACCAGAGGACCTTCATGGTAGGATGACCGGATGAACTTCATGTTAGGATCTCTAGAGGAACTTCATGATAGAATCACCAGAGGACGTTCATAGTAGGATCACCAGAAGACCTTTATGGTAGAATCTCCAGAGGAACTTCAAGGTAGGATCACTAGAGGACCTTTATGGTAGAATCACAGGAGGACCTTCGTGGTAGGATCACCAGTGATTGGGCTTCATATATTTTAATTAAAGTCTTATCACATGACAAGTCTCCTCTGGCACCCAAGGCAACGATGGAGAGGTGACTCCCCTATGATGAGCATTAATTGGAATTTTACGTCAACTAGGGACAAAAAAATAGTCCATAATGTCAAATGACAACTGAATAAGCTGTGGTGCAACCAATTGCCTCGAGAAGCCTCATAATCAGATGAATGGAGTCCGTCTGTCTGTAGTAGCACATGGTCTCAGAATAAATAACCTGTTTTTTTGGGAAGCCTCGTGGTTCACTGGAGGGAAAGTCCAAACAAACATCATCATGAAGACCAAGGAATGTTCAAAACAAGTCTGGAGTAAAGTTCTAAAGCAACAGGCAGGTTTGGGTTAAAAAAAAATCTAAACTTGCATTTCCCAGAAAATAAATCCAACACCATAATATAGAAGGAACCAAAACATCCAAACTGAGTCCCCTCTGGAGTTTTCCAAAAAGGAAGGTAGGAGACAATGAAATGAGGTCACAGGTTCTGATGTGATGGGACCGAAGTAAAACTTTTTGGCCTTTGTGAGCCCAAAAGCCAACGCTGTTCACTGTTACCTTCTGGACACCATTAGCAGTGAGATGTAAGATGGTGGTCGCACCATGTAGTGGAGATGTCAGCAAGGGCTAGGGGGGCTTATTTGTAACTGAAAGCATATATTCAGGGCCGGATTCACTCTCTCTGCTGCCACAAGGCCAGGTTCCTCAATGCAACCTTAGAGCTCCAGCTGTTGTGGAAGTCCCATGAGGCATTGCCAGGGATCCCAACCTGAAAGAAGCACTTTCAGGGAGGTGTCCCTCTCATTTCCGGGAGGTGCTACCCCCGCCCCCCCCCCATCCACGGAGGAGAGGTTAGGGGGGCTGGGAGAGAGCACCCCCCTGAAATGATGGCAGATAGCACAGGAAGCAATAGCTTCTTTGCTATCTGCAGGCTTTCTTTTTTTTTTTTGTATTCTTGAAGCAATAGCTTCTTTGCTATCTGCAGGCTTTCTTTTTTTTTATTCTGACAGTTGCAGTGGTCAGAATAAAAAAAAAAAAAAGGCATACGATTGCATAGCTAGATTCCTATTGGCTATTGCACTTTGCAATAGCCAATAGGAAACTAGGTAATGCACCCGCCCACTGCTGCTTTCAATCAGCAGAAGATGACCTGATAGAAAAATTCAGGTCCCCCTCTGCTGATTGACAGCAGCAGTGGGCGGGTGCATTAGCTAGTTTGCTATTGGCTATTGCAAAGTGCAATAGCCAATAGGAATCTAGCTATGCAATCGTATGCCTTTTTTTTTCTTTTCTGACTGACGGTCAGGCCGCGGCTCCCGATGTCAGAAAAGGAAAAAAAAAACGATCGCAGGGAAAGGTTTAATCTGCTTGATAGAGCAGATTAAACCTTTCCGGGAGAAAATGTTTCTCTCCCGGGCGGCCGGGAGCCGCTATCTAATAGCGGGAGACTCCCGGAGCTTCCGGGAGAGTTGAGATGTCTGCATTGCAAGCCACAAGCAGGAGGGGATTTGTAATTCCACCACAGTTGGGGTGCCCAGGTTGCCCACCCCTGGGTTAGAACCACTGGTCAGCCTGGAAGATTCACCCGTTCTAATTGTCCTGATCAGCAATGGTGAGGGGCAAACCCAAAACTTGAGTTGCCACCAGAACAGCCTGAAGCTCTTCTGAACACGGAAGGGTCATGGGTCACCACCCCAATCAGCTACAAGCTGTGCAGCTGTCCGTAAACAAAGGGGTGGGATACTTGTGCTGATGTCATTGACCACATGGCCAAGTTAGGTCAATGTCACTGACCAAATATAGTCATGTGGCCATGTATGGCCAATTACGTCACTGCACCCTTTGCTTACGTGCAGCTGCGGGCTGGGAATTCCCTGGCCACAGCTGATTGGGTGGCAACAGACGAAGCTTCCTTCCATGTCCGGGCTTGAGCTGATCCCTACTGATAATAATTCTTATTTTAACTTTGCCACAGACCTCTGCAAATCTCTAAAATTTGGCGGCCCCCAGATTTCAGGAGCGGGGGTTGTTGTTGTTAAAGGATCACCTGTGAAAAGGGTTATTTCAGCATCTTAAAAGTTCAGCCAAGAAAAACACAGACACCAAAAATAAAATAGAACCACCCCAACAACCTCCAGGGGACACTGCGCCTTCAGTACAGAACTGAACAATTCTCGTGTCTCCTTTTGCCCTGGCTGACTAGTAGCCACACCCCACTGAGCCCATAGTGAGGCGCAGGAAGCCCATTAGAGACAGTCAGGAAAAGTCCTATAGACATTGTGGGAAAGGTCTGACCCCTAGTGGTACCAGCGTGTCATTACACGTCACTGTGCTTGTCCAGAACCCTACGTGCAGGCTATGTGTAAGCGCTGAACATACATATATCATTTTGTACAATTGTCGATTATTAAATAAAATCCTTGTTTTTACCCTTTTTTTTCTCCATTCTTTGTTGAGTCTCTGTGCTGTGATCTCCTGCAGCTTCTTTGCAGCCACTTCCTGTCTGCATGCACATCTACATGCCATTTCTCAGGGCGGGACGTCCTGATGGTGACAACAGTGGGCCATGTCTGTGTAATAGGTGTTGAAAAAGCCACTTGTAGCCTGTGTGGCAGGGTGACAACGCAGGAGCACAATTGGGAGACACGTACAGAGCGTTGTCACCGCATAACAGGAAGTGCCTGGACAAGGACCCTCATGTTTCCATGTACAAAATGTTTAATGGTGGCAGCAACATTAGCGATAAACTGTTTAAAATTAACTCCGTTACAAAAACTAGAGGCCATCACCTAAAATTGGTGGAAAAAAAATTCCAGCACAAGGGGCGAAGGGGGTTCTTCACAGTAAGATCAGTTAGGGTCTGGAACTCACTGCCACAGGCGGTGATTTCAGCAAATAATGTGGAATTGTTCAAGAAACTTTTGGACGATTTCTTAAGGGACCGTAATATACAGGGGTACAGGTAATATACAGGGGTACGGGTACTCCTAGAATGAGATCCTAATAGGTTGG